ATCAATTAATAAGTCCCCTTTTAATTACTTTCTTCAGAGCCAATAAACTCTTCATTAACTATGAGATTATGGCATATGTAAAGCACTATAGATTCATTTCAGTTTTTATGAAATGTTAAATAGGTACCCATAAAACTGTTATAGAACTTCAGCCACAGTCAATATTTGCTTTTATTTCCCCTCATATAATGTGGTTCTATGGTAAATAAATTAGTTTGCTCAGCAATACTTGATGATATACTGCCATCACACTAGCAATAATCATTGAGCATCTACTGGCTTTAATAACCCAACTCTTTATCTATTGATTTATCTTTGAACAAGCAGTGTTCATATTGAATTGAAAATGTATTTATCAAACTCCTACTATGTACCAGAAATTATCTATCCGAGGCACTGAAGATAAGAGTTGGGGAACAGAAAAGACAAAGTCTTTTGTCATATTGCAGGCTACATTTAGAGGAAGGAGAAAAACACACACACATACACCCTCATACACACACAACCATAAACAAAATAAATAAAGGAGCTAAACGATAAGCGCAATAACGGGGTATGGGAAGGCAGGTGGTAGGTGTTCCACATTAATGTGAGCAAAGAGAGCTCTCAGATATGATGATGTTTGAGCCAACACATGGAAGATCAGAAGGCAGTCATGCAAAAAGGAAAGGAAAGAAAGAAGAACACTGAAGAGGTCAAATTCAGCACAGCAGTTCTAAAGCAGAAATGAGCATGGCGTATATGAGGAACAGAAAGAAGACCAAAGTGGCTGGAGCATAAGGAGGGAGAAGAGATGAGTTCAAACAAGGTGGGAAATACAAGCCACAACCAAACTAATTCACGTGGAAACACAAATTTAAAGATCAGCTTCACAGACATAAAGAAATACAGAGAAAGTCAAATGCTTCTCAAATAGAAACAAGATCTCTTCTGCAGGACGATGTTAAATGACTTGAACAGGCTAACATAGTAACCAATATACCCTTCAACGTGTAATGCTTCCAAACAACAGACTTTTATTCCTCATTCAGGTATCCAGATCAAGGCAGATGCAGATGGGGGAAGTGCTCTGTTCTGTACGGTAAATCAATAGTAAGATATCAGAGACACTGCACCTTCAACATATGTCCTCCAAGATTGCCCTGGGTAACAACACCCAGCTGGCAGAGGGAAAAGGGCCCAGAGGACCATGAGTGGAAGATGTCTTTTATGGACCAGGAGTGGGAGAGGGATCAGTTACTTCCATTCACCTTCAGCTGCATAGAACCTAATCACATGGCCACACCTAACTGGAAGGGAGGCCGGGAAATATAATCTAGGAAGAAGTGGAAATGATGATGTTTTAACAGACGCTTTTGCAGTGCTGTATTTCTAAATTTTGGGATCATACCACTCTCCTATATATCAGAGGTGATTTGTCCTCATTATTTAGGGAGTAGGCAGTACGCTTTAATAAATTAGATGTAAGCTGTTCTTAGCTGATACTTGTAGTTTATATAGCCCTTTTAAAAAGCACCCTTATATATTTCTTCTCTGATAACTACGTAAGTGTTCCACTTTTAGTGATAAAAAGAGAATTACAAGCTTGGTATAGAAATATGGTTATTTTTGTTCAAAAATTTTAACAACATGCCTCTTGAAATCTGAGTTATCAAGAAGAAATGCTCATATACTTCCCTGGAGTTTTGATGCCAACCTGATTAAATTTGCATGTGCAAAAGAAATGTGTACTTAAAATAAAGCTTGACATGATCTTCAGTAACTACTTTGTACCACCTATGAGTCTAAATTGAACCAGCCATCAATTCTTGAGAAATTCTTGATTATATTTATTTATTGTATGATTTTAAATGCATATGAATGAATCTTCCATCAGCATTTTAGAAAGGCAGTGCCCTAGGCTCTCATCTGAGAATACATAGCTGTATTGTTCTTCGGTCCCAATAAATATACTGGATTAGAGAAATTATCTGTGTCGAATGGCTTGGATGATATCCTATCTAGCCACTCCTCTAGGTATTTTCTGTCTATCTCTAAAAGCCAGACCACGTAAGCTTAATGAGCTTTATTTTAATATTAAGCCCTTGGTCATTGTCTAAAGAAGTTATACTGTCTAGCAATTTGAAATCTGTGACTTCATTATCTGTAGGAAAACTGTATAAAAAGTTATCATTCAGGGCTCTTTAAATTGAGCCCCATGCGAAATTTTAAGTTTGTTTTGTTTTGTTTTTGGTAGAAGTATGCAAGGTATAACTTACTTCCTCTAAGGAACCAATGTTCTTTCCTTTTTGATGATGACAGTTCTATAAGTGACCATGTTTCACCATTTGCTCTTGACTACTTTAAGGCTGAGCAAACAGAAATTCATATGGCCTAGGAATATGGTCTTCCTTCCTTATGACTGTCTTGCTTATTTATATCTTCTATTGATACTTTGTTTTGATTTCTATTTCACCTTTTTTAGAATTGTTATTGCTACTTGTCTCAATGCTTTTTGAGAAAGATGAATATATGCACAAATAGAAACCATACATCTTCTAAAGATTCACTGAAGCAGTTGTTAAAGGTGGTTGGTCAACAGGACTGCTCAGGTTCTCATCATTTCAGATGTCTGTGGGCAACACCACCACCTGCTTGGATGGGCACTTCAGTACCTTGCTTCCATTCAAATTTATTTGAGGATTTACATGGCATATAAAAATTTCATCTCCATGTAACTCTGTTTGTGTAGAAAAGGACTTAAGCAATTTCCTGGAGTGAATCAGAGGCTGTTTCTAATTGTACATAATTGCACTGTTTCATGTCTAGGATGTTCTGTCTTGCATTAATGTGTAAATGCATGCATATGAGCACATCCTTAGATTTAAACAGAAAACACATCCAAGGATTTTTAAAACATAAGAAGGAACAGACAAATTAAGAGGGCTAGGAAGGGGATTTGACTGGAGAGGCAAAAAGGGGAACCCAAACTACTTTTAAACAAGTTCTTTTAACAGTGATAAAATGCAGACTGTTCTGACTTTCTCTTTCTTAGGTCGGTCTCCTGTCAAACTCTTAGAGCCAACGAAGTTCCAAAAAGAGGGCAGAACTACTGCACACTGGAAATCTCAAATACCTGCTAAAGAAACAATGGAGGTTAGTAGTTATGTACCAATTAGCTTGTAAGGGAGGTAAACATAAGTAACAGTATCTGCATAGTACTTGAAATTTTACAGGTTGCTTTTACATAAAGTATCTCATTTGATTTTCAGGGAAAAGAAAACAATAAAAAAAATGAACGAACAAAGAAAGAAACGTTGGGGTGAAGAAAGAAAAGTACTATTAGTCTTCTGATTTCACAGTTCTGGAATTTGAAAGTCGGAGAGGTTAAACATGTGCTCAGTGTTTCATGGTTAGCTAACAACACTGTGCTAGATTAGAGTTCAGAGATAGATTGCCTCACTCAAGACCCACATAGCGTTTAATAATTAAGTTGTTAATTATTTTACCAATTCCCCATGTCTGAAAACATAAGAAACATTAAATCTAGCTAGGCTTACTCTGATCATTTTAGTAATAGTGTCAGAGTTGTGCCTTGTTAATTTTAGATCAGATTAAAGAAGTAATTTTCTTAAAAGTCCTTATTTTTTCACTGAATGTTTATAAATATCAATGTTGGTAACAGTATAGTACAAAGTAAACTTTAATCTTGGTTTTTAAAATTGTATTATCCAGTTTCATAGATTCCACACTTGGAAATAGCTATAATTTCAAATATTCACTGACATAATTATATCTAGCTGCAGTGAGGCTGTACATAGTACTCTGTGTATCCCTCGCTCATCATGAAGCATGTCAAATGCAATGAGCAGTAGAGCATAGCTGGCTTGTGGAAACTTCTCTCCCTTTTCTCCGCTTCAGTGCTCCCTGTCTTGACCCAGGAAAGAAACACTAGCATTTTAACATCACAGTTAAACTATCAAACAATACAAGCTATATTACTAATAAGTTGAGGGAGAAAGGACACTATTGTTATTTCGTTTTAAAATCTAATTCATATTTTTTTAAAGAAATGAAGAAACACTTTAACAATATTAATGCAAATGATCAGTGCAAAACAAGTATTCACTTACTTAAAAAGCTTTGGAAATCCAAATTTTGTGCAATAAAAAGTTGATATTTCTCAGCAAAATGCTTTCATTGAGAATACAATCCAAAAATTAAACATGAATAAGCTATAGTTTTATATTTTTGTTTACTATATTACACTGAATTTACACTTAAGATATCTATATCAAATAAGGAACAGTGAATTTTCCCTTTTGATGGGATGAGCCCTGATGGGAAAATATAATTAATTCAAAATCTCCTCCCAAACCAGAAAACCTCTCTACAAAGGTAGAAGAGAAAGAAAACAATTTTTATTATTGAATCGGCATTAAAGCAGAATGCAAAGTGCATCACAGGGAATCCACTAAAAGATTGTAAAGACAGAAAGATGTCTCACCCTTTTGTATAGCCAAGCAAATATGACCATTCCATATGCATTCTCAATATAAACAATAACTAGCCCTCAAGCAAGAGGAATTGATAGCACCATTTGTCACACAAAGTTAATCCTAGATTCACCTGAATTGGTGTAGCCATCTGTGTTTGTTAATTGGATTAATCCAAAGGGAAATAAATTCCTATCTTTAGGACAAGAGGTAGTTTTGCATCTTAGAGCAAGGCACCCACAGAAGTCAGGCTCTTACCCTCCCAAAGAAACTGGGAGACAGGGACCCTATCTTCTTTGATGATTACATTTCAAAGAGATGGTTCCCATATCCTTGGAAAGACATTCCTGGGGGTTAAAGTTGACAAGAGACTTATTTAGCTTGTAAAAAGATATTCATAGGGGCCAGCCCTGTGGCTTAGTGGTTAAGTTGGGTGCATTCCACTTCGATAGCCCGGGTTTGCAGGTTTGGATCCCGGGTGTGGACCTACACCACTTGTCAGCTACGCTGTGGCAATGACCCACATGCAAAATAGAGGAAGATTAGCACAGATGTTGGCTCAGGGCAAATCTTCCTCAAGAAAAAGAGAAGACTGACAGCAGAGGTTAGCTCAGGTAGAAAGACATTCATACGTTTCAAGGAAGCAGAAAGAACTTACATGTTTTCTAAAGTAGATGCTGTAAGGAAAGGGAGGGGGAAGTGTCTTCCCTCATTTTCAACATGGGGAATTAAGCCTCATTTTTTTTTTTTTTTTTGCATTTGCCTTTACATCCTATGTAGATTATGTACCTATTGAGAGATTGGGTTTTCAACACTTTCTTCTACTAAATAATGCCATGTGGTGAAAAGCTCATTTTTAGGCTGTTTTTCTGATAGGTGAATTTTTGTCTTGAAAATACATTATTTACTTTTACTATTAACTACTATTTGTTATTAATAACTACTATTAGCTCTAATAGCCATTCAAAACGTGATGGGGTGAAGGCGGGGAGAAGGAGACTGCATCATAATATGTGATCTTGCTTTCAACAAGCACATGGAAGCATCAGATTGAATCTGCTCTTTGTTTATTAAAGAGTATGCTTTCCTCTGAGACTCTTCCTTAAAGACCATATTTTAGCCTATTATGTTATCTAGAGGATCTGATTTCCCTATTATCTCCTCTGCCACCTTGCATCTTGTTTACATATGTATGTATGCATATGCATTCAGCAATCATGAAGGAAATTCAGTGCCTCTTCATTCATTTCCCAGAAAGGAGGAGGGAGATTTGCATTGAGCTTGAAGTGTTAAACACAAACATTATAGATGTTCATATTATTTTTAAAGTGAATATTTGTTTGCTTCAAATTTCTAATTCAGTTACTTTTGAAAAGTCAAGAGGACTGTGATGTAAGTTTGCTATATCATAATTAATTTGAATTCACTGTGTACTAAAAGGTTTAGATTTTAAGGAAACCTGGAGGAACAAGATATCAGCTTAAGAAGACCTATATCAGTTACACTTTAAAGATATCTTGACTTCCTCATTTATATGTGTCTGTGAAATTAATGTGTGTATATATACATATATGTGAAACAAGTGTGTCTGTATTTGTGTGTGTGTGTGTGTAATCGTCCCTATGATACTCTCAGTTATTTCAGTATAGCATTTTATTGCTTTACAAAAGACAATATATCTGAGGCTGTACTTTCCATGATTGTTGTTATGTCCTTCAAACTTTGAGTCAGTCACTGATGTTGATGAAATTTTTTCCCTTTTAATTTTAGATTAGACATAGCTGTGCAATAAAAATCACAGAATTTTTAGAAACATTGCCTTAGTTTGAGTCCTAGCTACAATAATTACTGGTTGAATGACTGACTATGTTACTTAAACTCCTTATGTCTCAGCTTCCTCATCTCTAAGATGAGTATACTAATAGTAATTTCCTCATCTGTAGTTGTGAGCATCTCAATGAGTCAATATACATAGAAAGGGGAAGTGTGGTACCATGAGTTGGAAGTCTGTGGATTTGTGTTCTAGTTTCTACTTTGCAAGTAACTACTAAAGCGGTTTTGAGTAAATGGTCCTAATCTCTAAATCTAAAGTTCTTTCCTTTCCTTTAAAACCAAAACAAAACAAGACCAAAAAACAAAACTCTGATAATATTATGTTCTTTAACTCTAATTGGCTATGAATTAGAATCCTAACTGTTTCCTTTGGCTCAAAGACAATATGAAATGAATATTTTTTGTATGTGTGTGAGGAAGATTAGCCCTGAGCTAACAGCTGTTGCAATCCTCGTCTTTTTGCTGAGGAAGCTTGGCCTTGGGCTAACGTTCATGCCGATCTTCCTCTACTTTATATGGGACGCTGCCACAGCATGGTTCGACAAGCAGTGCATTGGTCCGTGCCTGGGATCCAAACCTGCGAACACCGGGCTGCTGAAGCAGAGTGCATGGACTTCACTGCTATGCCACAGGGCCAGCTCTGAAATGGATATTTTTTTGTTGCATGACAAGACTGAACTATCTCAGAAATTGCAGATATTCTGTCATCAGCATACAGATAAGGCAACAGAAGATCATATTAAGAAGTCCAAATATCATTTCATGTATTCTTCATTTAAAATGGTAGTTTTAAACCTTTTTGACTACAGAACACTTTAGTTATATGAATGCTTATGCAGACATCTTCAATTTAGGAGGTATAGAACAAGCCCATTTGCCACTCTCAGTACACCTCATATACCAATACACAGAGGTTGCCCTTCATGAACTGCCGGAGAACCCATTGTTCTAGTAGAATTTAGTTAAAAACATGTGCTTTGCATCAAGTGAAAGGATTATTAATCATTCATCAATCTGATCCCTCCCCCTTTTTTAAATCTCTTTTTGATACTTGCAGGTACCAGAAAATGACTATGGCTTTTATAGCTATTTTCAGAGTAACATCCGTAGGGTAAGACAATATTATTAATTAGAATTACAAAATTCAGGAAATTAACCCCTGCAGAGGAGTCAAACAGTCAGTAATGTCATGTTTTGTTGGAAGGATGCAAACCAGAGGGAGTGTACCACAAAGTAATAGATCAGAATTCTACAACTGGGGTTCTACCAGCAATCTGTTTTAGTATGTTAAACAAATGACGTGAACTCTATCAATTCAATAACATTTATTTTAAATGAGAGTCTCTGCCCCTTCTCTCCTCAGGAGAAAATATTTTCAATTTAGTTTATCCAGCTCCTGAAACAGACCTTAAAAAAAAAATAAGGAAGATGCATATGTATAGGTTCAGATTCATGAATTTATGTGGTTGGACATATTTTTCCATATTAAGTTTAGTATTTAGAAGGATCTCTGTTGAGTCCTGGGTACCTATCAGCTGAGCAAACTATAACTTTTCTCCTACTCTCATTTTCACACAGTTATGTATATTTTCTTTCCAGTCTCCTCTCTTGGATTGCATCCCAACCCTCAAAACCTATCTAGGGCCCTTGATAACCATTTTCTTCCATTTTTTGCCATAATATTCCCAATTTCTTACTGACTCAATTAAAGTGTCCCAGGATACGTCTGTATATTGAAAGAATGTTGTGGCCATGACTCACTCCCTAGAACAAATCCATTTATTTAGGAACTTTGGCCCAACTCAAGCCCCAGTTTGCAATACCCATTAAATGTTATATTGGGGAATTCTGGTAGGTGATAGCTATTATTTTTTGAATTCTGTCTCTTGGATTCCAGATTTTTCTCTTTATAATATGGCCTGTATCCTCAAAAACTCAGTAGGCTTCACAGTAGTCTTAGCTTTGACATAATATGATCTAAATTTATTATGAAGATATTGTGGAATCACTTTGTAAATATAAAATGGTGCATAATAAAATTTAGTTTGATTTAATATGAAATTTATAAAAATAACAAGTCCAAAGATATTCTATAACTAAAGACAAACATGAAAACTTAATGATGTTTTTCTCATAAACCAGAATCAGTAAAACACTCATATTGACAATTTGGTAGCATCAACAGTCAGATAAAATATCCATGTGATAATCAGAGATGTCACATTTATTTTACATTCAAGTGACTTCACCCTTTTGGCAGAAGATAGTGTCCCTGATATAACTCCAGGGTCTGAAAAGAATGGCTAACCACTAGATAGATTAAGTGCATATATAGGATGGCAGGCGATGACTGCATCTCACATATTACATGTTTTCAGTTACGCTATACACATGAGTGATTTTGCATCAAATCATATACATTGGTAGTAATTGTAATTTTCTGATACAAAGGGCATAGGTATATGCTAAACTCTATTTTTTTCTTGCATCATGAGCAGAGATAGAAAATTCCTTAATGTTAATGTTAATTTTAATAATCTCTCACATTGTGAAATGACTTATATCACATGACAGTAATGGCACAAAGAAGGGTGGAGCCAGAAAACAAACTGGTCACGGTTTTATTATTGTCTTTCAGACCAAGCTCTCCTTCCCTTAAGCAATAGCTCAGTGCTCAGTGAACTGATTTAAAACATGTTCATCACCTTATCTTTCAAATCTTGAAGAATCTGGAATGGACAGCATCTTCAAGGATGGAGTTTAACAGATTTCAAAGTATCCTCAGAATTTAAGAAACAGAGTTTTCATTTGTTTTGCATGCTCTAACTCTTAAGGCCTCTATGGAGCCCACTAAGTGTGTGTGGGTGTGTGTGTGTGGGGGGGGTGTGTCTGTTGTGATGTGAACAGGTATAATATGAGATAATTTGGTAAGGCAAAATGATCAATCCATCAGGCCACTTAATTTCGTAGTGTGTGCGTCATTGTCTTGGTTTGACAGAATATCTACATACCTGTTAAGTCTTATAATACAATCAAATCAAGCAAAGATACAATGTGATGCAAAATATAATTCAGTAAACCTTAGTTTGTTAACATTCATTCACCATTCAGTTTAGACTATTGTCTAAATCCTATGTGGAGAGTCTTTTTAGAATATTAGTATTTATTCTTTATTCTTTTTGTTTTAACTCTTTCAGCACTTTAAGATCCAATGATCTGGAAATAGTAATTTTTTTATTTCTGAACAAATAAAACTTGGAGGGTGAATTGCAGTGTCAGAGGCATAAAACGTTGAATTGCCTAGAATTTTTGGCCAGGTGTCCGTTCAGAGCACATAATCAGTAAGCTAGGTAAATACGGAATGAAATAGAGGAGGCTGAGAAAAGATTGCATCCCCTCTCACTTTAAGCCTAAGGTCAATATCACACACTACCAAACAAAAGACTTTTTATCCCTCATAGAACATTGTACAGGAACTCTCTTGACTTGGGATTTTCAGAGGCATATCAGATACAAGACCTTGAGAAAGACAGAGAAAAGCAAAAATAAGAATTTAGAAAAATACAAAGCACAACACAACAAAATTTGGGGATACTTAAAAATCAAACCAATATTTAGCTTTCAGAACAGTGCTAAACATACTGCAAAGTCACACAACTATGTATTGATTCATGAAATATCTTGGTGACCAAGAAAGAAAACAATCAGTAGTTGGGATACTGAAACACTAATTATTTCTTTTCTCACTGGCTATCTGTGTGATCGTGAGCAAAAAACTTATTTGGGTCTCAATTATCTCATACATATATTTTAAAACAGAAAAAATCAAGGAATATAATCCTAGAACTAAAATATTTCTAAGAACAACCTAAACAATAGCTTTATTAAGTAGGTAATACTACAAAATTAAATTTATAAACTTCAAAAATAAAATAGCCTTCAGTCAAGTATTAAAAATTCAACTAGTTATTGGTATACAATAATGAAAAATAGCTAATTCTTTAGATTTATCATTTATCCCATCCAGAATTAAAATTAAATACTTAAATATCCATAGCTTTAGTTACAAAAATGCAGTAAACTTTTCTTCAAAGAGTATGCATATTATTCAAAAATATTTTACTACTTAAAACTCAATCTTGGTCAAAATCTGAGAAGAAATGTTTGGCTTAAGACAAATGATAGTGCCAGAGCACACACAACATTTGAGAAAAAGAAATGATGGAAGCTGCCTCTAACCACATGTTGCTAAAAGCTGGAAGTGTTGAAATCACTAAGTCAAATTTTGCTTTCTGATATGTGAAGTCTATGGTTTGCAAAATTAAATTTGGATTATTATTATTTGCATTCTTAACAGAGGAACAATCCTCTATTTGGAATGTGTTTAGTATATTTTATTTGGGGCCTAATTTATCAAGAATTCATATAGTCATTGTATAGAAGTGTGTATATATTAAATTATATATATTGAATGAGTCCAGTACAGTACTATATTGTGTGAGGTATAAAAATAGAAAATGTATAGGGGAAATTAGACATATATACATGAAGAATTCTGAGAAAAAAGCCATGTGTGGCACAGTTTAGGAAAAGGAGTAGTTAATACTGGGTTTAATAGATTACGAAGATGATACGGCAGAATGGATTGGCTGAGAAGAGAACATAATTGATAAAAATTAAAACTATATAGAAAAAAGAAAAAGTAGAAATTAGCATAATTATGATATGTATTTCAGACGATGAGAGAATTGTTTAGATGGCTTACCGTAAAGAATCTCCGTAAGAATATAGTTGGAAATTAAATTTAAGTGTATTAGTTTCCTAGGGCTGCTGTAACAAATTACCACAAACCAGGTGGCTTAAAACGACAAAAATTTATTCTCTCAGTTCTGGAGGCTAGAAGTCGGAGTTCAAGGTGCTGCAAAGTTGGCTCCTTGGTTTCAGAGGGCTCAGAAGGAGAATCTGTTCCATGCTTTTAGCTTCTGACAGTTACCAAAACTTCTTGGCACTCCTTGCGCTGTAGATGCATCATTCCAATCTGCCTCCAGTGACACATGGCCGTCTTTTCCCTGTGTGTCTCTGTCTCTTATAAGGATACCAGGCATATTGGATTAAGGGCCCTGTCTATCCAGTATCACTTCCTCTTAACTAATTACATCTGCAAAGACCCTATTTCCAAATAAGGTCATATTTAGAGTTAATTCAATATATCTTTTGGAGGAAAACAATTCAATCCATAACAGAACGTAAATATTTTGAGAAGTAGGGTTGAATAATATGAATATGAGGTAGAAATTTGTAGGAACTCATTTAAGGATTGAGGAAAAGCCAATTTTGAAAGTGGTATTTGGGGATGATTTAATCAGTTGGGAGATTTCTATGAAAATACAAATATGAGATGGTGAAAATATAATCTACTTCAAACACAGTGGTAATGGAAAGGAAAATTGATCAAAATTGCTGTTAAAGAGTGATATACTCAAATAGTACTATAGCAAAAAAACTAAAAATTCCAGGAAACTATATAAAAATAAAAGCATCTCATGAAGTGCATCAATGAGATCTAACATGTATTAATAAGAAAATTCTTAGAGGCCAAAAACAAAGTAAAAGAAATCTAGAGAGTCAAGAAGGGTCATCTGCTACCTCTTGTTGAATTTGACTTTCAATTTTCCTACCACACAGCCAAAGACAAAGCCTAGGGTCTGATTTTGTGGGAAATCTGATAGAAGACTCAACAAATAAAGCTGGAAAAATTAACGGCCTTTCTCTTCGAATAAGTGTGAATTAAAACATAATCCGCCCTAAATATGCTTGTTTCAAACTTTACATTTGCACCAGGGAAAAACATCTTTGCTAAGAATTCAGATTCAAAAACATTCACATGGACATGACATCTGAATTCACAGTCCTTACGTGTTTCTGAAAAATTCAAGGGAATAATTTTCTTAATAACGTGGTTGTAGTCATATAACGTCACCAAGAAATAGGGAACACTAAATGTAAACTATTTTGGGGAGAACACAAGCTTCAAACCAGATCTCAAAAATTATTATTATAAAGGGGCCACCCGGTGGCGCAAGCGGTTGGGTGCACGCGCTCTGCTGTGGCGGCCCGGGGTTTGCCGGTTCAGATCCCGGGCACGTACCTAAGTGCTGCTTGTTGGTCTGTGCTGTGGTGGCGTCCCATATAAAGTGGAGGAAGATGGGCATGAACGTTGGCCCAGGGCCAGTCTTCCTCAGCAAAAAGAGGAGTATTGGCAGATGTTAGTTCAGGGCTGATCTTCCTCACACACACACAAAAAAATTATTATTATAAAGGTTTCAAGGAACATAAGCTTACAAATGAAGATCACTGCATATGCAAGGAGCAAAGGCATCATGAATAAGAGCCAAAAGGATAAAAGAGAGAATATAATCACTCTCCAATGAACATAGATAATGATGTTGAGTAAACATATAAAATAAGTATATATAACATAATTGACCTAATAAAACAGTTGATTGAAAAATGAGTGAGGAACAAGAGACTTTTAAAAATAGTCAAGCATATTAGAAAAACAGCTAAGGAAGTTCAAGGAGGAAAGAAAGAACATTTTAATAAATAATTAAATGGACAATTAGCCAGTTAATTAGATGCAGCTGAAAAAAAATGAATAAATTGGAAGAAAAATGTAAAAATGTTAGGGTGGTGATACTAAGAGAAATATTAAGAAGCATGGAAGAACCTGGAAGCTTTGCCACCTGGATAAAAAGAGTACGAGGAGGAAAGCAGAGAGAAAATGGTGTAGAGTTAAAATTCAAAGTAATAATGGTGGATAATGTTTCAAAATTGATGGAAGACACATATGTTCAAATTCCAGAATCTCAATGAATCCTAAACATGATAAATAAAAAGTTTACACCTAGATACACTAAAGTGAAACAGCAAAGCAACAAAGAACAAAAGAAGATCTTAACAGCAGCCAGAGAAAATAGATATATCTACTTCAATGGAATAACTTTAGACAAACAGATAAATTTTCCATAGCTACAGTGGAAACTAAAAAACAATACAACAACACTTTTGAAAAATTGTGCAGGAAAAATGTTGTCAACCTAGAAATAAATCTTTCATAAATAAAAAATAAAAATATATTCATAGAACCAAAAAATTGATGGTTTGCAAGTAACAGAATCTCAAGAAAGAAAACTCTATGGATATGATTTAGGCGGAAGGAAAGATCCCAGATGGATTATCTAGGACACAATAACAAAAGTTAAGCAAAAACATTATTAAATATGTAGGTAAAACTAATAACAAAAAATATTAATAATATGTTTTTGTGGAATTAAACAAAGCTATATAAATCTAATGCCTAGAGTGACAATAGCATAGATTATTGTGCAAATTTGATTTAAAGTATTCTTAAATTCTTGATTCTTTTTCTTAGAAGAATATTAAGGCTGTTTAATAAACTTAGAACTTATACATTATGTATGTTAAAATGTTAGTGGTAACCACTTTAAATAAAACAAAAATAGTGTCTTTAATTTCTAATTAGAGAAAGTACAAAAAGAAAGCAAAATAATATCAAACCAAAATAAAGTTATCAAAATGAAAAGAAAAATGGAAACATGAAGCATAAATACAATTTTGAGGCAAAGAAAAAGTTGCAGAATAAATAAAATATGATGCAATTCACATACAGTTCCAAATATGCAACGCCAAAAAAGAAAAAAATTAAGAATGCATTCATATATTTCAAGACCACATAAAAAAGAAAGAGAGTGGTTAACGTAGAATTGGGATGGTAATTGCCTCCTGAACAGAAGAGGGAAAATGGGATTAGACACAGGCAATATGTTTGAAAATTTTATTTCCTGAGTCTCATGGTGGATACACAGCTATTTATTTTGTTGTTTTTACTTAAAATTAACACATACTATAATATCTTTTGTGTGTATTAAAAAATTAAGGAGATATTTTTAAAGGGAATTAAAGAGTTGTAAGAGTTTACTAAATTTAAAGATTTGATTGCTGAAAATTGAAAATTTCTTGTAAGATTTATCCATATATCCTTGTATTTCTAAATGCATATTTTTTCTTTCAGTGTCACTTTCCATAGTTGTTATAATTATCTTTAGACAGAAGTCAAGCATTCATGTAGCAACCTACTCCTCCTCTAAAACTGCTTTGCACAGTCTGGTAAGAGATTTAATTTTCAGAGTACGGAGGTAATAATGGAAGCTTATCAAATCAAATGTGACAAAGTCCACTGTCTTTAATGACAACTTTATTTAGTATGCTTTATGGTTCCTGGAAATTATAGTTTTGTCTCCTTAACAATCTTCGGCAGAGTCAAAAGTCACTTTTTATTTGTTCCTCTTGAAAAATGGTAACAGCCATTGGCACTATTCTCAGTCTGAGATGTTTAATTTAATCCAATTCATTATTATAACATTCTTCAGTTCTTGTAAAATTTGATGCAATTAGAATGAGGGAGATATATGCTGAGGAATACATTTTCAGAAAGACATATAAAATATGTGTATATATTCTATTTACCTATACATACATATTAATATAAATACATGTAAAAAGCAAGCTGATTACATTAAATAAAGGAAGAAGAAAACATTAACCATCAAAGTTAATTGAATTACTGCAATTTAGTATTCAATTTGACTCTGAGTTTCCTGAATTGCACAGGTCGTTATCAGAGATAAGCATTCCAAATATCCACGAAAGGAACTTTAAGTTTAAAGGTCCCTTAAAATTTCTTTATACAAATATTTTCATGCATATAACTTTAAAACTTTATAGAAGTACATCAGTGAAATATTATCATATGTGCTGCTTTTTTTAACAGTTTCTCTCTTTTTTTGTTTGTCTAACTAGCCTCGTCTCCTCCTCCCCAAAACCCCCACCAGCAGTTAACTGGTGTTAATTACCTAAGATATAGTCTTGTATGTTTCCTTAATTTGCATATATGAAAGCACAGGAAAATTTAAGGTCATTGTTGACTGTACAAAAATTAGGTCATGTTGTCCACAATTTCATTAATCAAGGAAAGCTCTTTAAATCAACTGGTATAAACCTGTCTATGTTTTAAATAAATAGAAAACATTGAATAGTATGGTTTTGCCATAATTTTTTAACTTTCCTTAACAACGGGCATTTGCTTTGTGTCTGTATTTGTCTCACAATGTATCCTTGAATGACATATATATTTGTTAATGTATATAAATTATATATAATAAAATATTTTTTAATGTATATAAATTGTTATTAATTATAAATTGCCAAATATGTATTTATTAATATGGTGATACTTTACCCCCTTAGAAGTGATCCTCAAGTGTTGAACTGCTGGGTTAAAGAGTTTATGCAACTTATCATTAATTTTCAAAGTTGCTAGGTAGTTTTCCATATGGCTTTAATAGTTCACGTACATAAACACTCTTCTGTCCACCACACATAGGCATTTCTAATCTGGGGAAATCTGGTTGTATAACGTGATATGCCACCTGTTTTGTTTTGAATTTTTCTATTTACTAAATGACTAATCCATTTCCCACTGAAATAACACCAACTTTGTCACACAATTTTTTCACCTATTTTGAGTTTTATTTACATTTTTGCATACTTTCTTTCGATCTACATGTCTTTTCCTATGCAGATACCAGGCTGACTTATTTGCAGAGGTTCTATTGCTTTTTCTGATAATTCCTGCACACTATGCTTTTAAAAAATATGTTTGCCAGGTGCTCTGTATTCTAGCATACGTATTATTCCCTTTGAATTTAAGATCATTTTATTAAATTCCCAAAACAACAACCAACAGACTGCTAAATCTAAAAGCAAAACTTTAATATTTGGGCTTATTTAAGAGCTACTGACCACTACACTAAAGGGTATACACAAAAAACAATTTACCATAAATGTATAAACAATATTCAGATATCTGTGTCTTATGCTAAATCATTCCTGATTAAAAATCACTCTGTTTAAAGTTGATACAATATTGGTATACAACTGTTAGGTGAAATATTATGAGTACTAAATACAGATGAGTTCAGAATATGTTTCTAATCAACTTTCAGATAAGATTTCCATAGAATTGATATTTGGATAAATCAAAATTATGCTGACAGATTGGTATTCTAGAATTCTCTATAACTGAAGAAGGATACACTTGTATTTAAAACAAGAATATTAAATAGTCTAATTGAAATTCTATTATGAGAGATTTGAACTCTTGTCTATTATTTTTATGTGTGTGTGTGAGGAAGATCAACCCTGTCCTAACATCTGTCAATTCTCCTCTTTGTTTTTTTGCTGAAGAAGACTGGCCCTGGGCTAACATCCATGCCCATCTTCCTCCACTTTATATGGGATGCTGCCACAGCATGGCTTGCCAAGAGGTGTGTCAGTGCGTGCCCAGGATCCGAACCGGCGAACCCTGGGCCGCCGCAGTGGAGTGCATGCACTTAACCCCTTGCACCACCGGGCCGTCCTGAACTCCTGTCTATTTTTTCCATAAAGAAGTACATTTTTCAAGGTTTACTCACAGAAAATATATGGAAGAATATATTTAATAGTGATATGGCAGAGAACACAAAATGTAAAAATTATGTATAGGAAGTATTGGATTTATTATGGGATATGTAAGTTTACTCACTTTGAAGAAAGACACTAGCAGGTTGGGCATGTTTTCTGGTTTCGCATGGGAGTGGGGATGAGGTAGGCTGTTGTTGCATTTCCTTTGTTTCTCTTTGTCTTTTCCTCTTAGTTCATTTTCTACTTCTACTTATTCTAATTTTTTCACTATTCCAGACAGCCAACAAAATAATTGAGACAATGCTCAAGTTAAAAGAAATATATGTTCATATAATGTTATTTATCATTATGATGCTTTGACTAATTTTTTTTCAATTATTCATGGCCTGAAACTTTTTATAATAAGAATGTATAATTTTTTCCAGTGCATTTAGGCCAATATTCTAAAAATAATTTAGCGCTTAGAAAAACATTAAGTGATTTTTAAATTGATTGTTTAAATATTTGCTACTGACATTGTCATTCTTTTTTCTTTTTTTTTGCAGGGAAGGATTCACCCTGAGCTAACATCTGTTGTCAATTTTCCTCTTATTTTTCTCTCCCCAAAGCCTTAGTGCATGGCTGTATATCCTGGTTGTAAGTCCTTCTAGTTCTTCTATGTGAGCCACTGACGCAGCATCGCAACTGACAGAGGGGTGGTGTCGTT